GCTCTGTCTGTGTGCGCGCATTTGCCGACGCCAGGAACGCCGACAGCACCGATACATTCGGCACCTGAAGTGACGAAAACACCGAATATACCGATGAAATCGCCCTCTCGCTTGCGCGCGTTTACGCGACGTTGGAGCGTTGTTGTTGTTGTTGTTATTGTTATTGTTATGATTACTATTATTGCTGTTATTGCTTTTAATACTATTGTTATTATTGTTTATTATTGTTGTTATCATTATTGTTATGATTAGCATGATTGTCAGTGTATGATTGTCTCTCTTGGTACTAATGTTCTTGTTATTACTATTATTATGAGTATTTTTCTTATTATTTCTGTTAAGATTCAGATATTTTCTATGAAGAATTACGTAGAATGGGGTGTTGCTGGGGCATAAATGTACAAGGTCAAGGCACTATAAGCGGGAGCAAGTCACTAAGAACCAGATCGGTAATCACTGCACGGAATATCGGGCAGTCTCAATCATGATCTGAGATTTTGTTGGTTGAACCAAGGAATAGGTAGGATACTTGGAACGCTCAGTCGCGCCCTAGCTGTGATGTGGTTGGCAAGGACAGGCACAAACATGCCAACACCCCAAATCCTAAAATCAGTAAACCCCCAAACCCCAAAATCCCTTAACCCTAAACCATAAAGACAGGGATCCTGATACTCCGCCAACTCCGCGCCTCTTCTGAGCCTCCCAGGCTGCTCGTACCCTAAACCCTGTACCCTGAGCCCTAGAAATTGAGCCCTAAGCCCTAAACCAGAGGTACGTCCGTCGGCTTCTTGCTCACAAGAAGGAAACTGGAACGGATCTGTAAAGGGATTGCCGGATGTCAGAGGCACTGCCCTAGAGTCCCAGAGCATCTGCTAGTCTTACGATAGTCTACAGGTGCTGCACAACTTTGCCGTGTCGTCATTAACGAAGTTGTAGAAGTAGAGGGCCGGCGCTGGTCTCGGGAACCTCTAGAAGATGGAAGGCTGTTCCAACTGGTGCGATTGGTTCACTCGCTTCCATTGCTGTTGCTTGATTACTTGGATTTTCACCATCGGAACGGTGGTGGACATCTTCCACTCCCGGGCTTTCTTGCAGAAGGCCCGTGCATGGGAGACGCTGCCTGCGTGGCAACTGGCGCACTGCGACGTACTTGCTGCCGGGGTCAGCTGCGTTGATCACTGGGACAAGAGCACATGTTTCGGTTACGTCGCGGGAAAGATGCCTTCTGGCCAGCCGCCGGTTTTTCTGACTGAGGAAGTCGCAGTTTGCCCGGGAACCTATTGGTGCGCGACAGATGGGGAGATGTGCGACTGCCGAGGCGAGATTACCTTTGCTACGGAGCTCTTCAACGGCGAAGTTTACACAATGCCTGAGCCAGAGAGAGCTTATAAGGTGGTCTCGACCGGCAAATGGAGATGCGGAACGGATCAGTCTGGACAGCCTTACCAAGTGGATCCTGCGAAGTGGCGCAATAAGCATTGCTGGTGCACACCGCAGGGCATTTTGGACGCTGTAAAGCAACATGAGCCTCCCTACTTACATAAGAAAGAGTGTTCTGAGATGGTGAGCACGTACTTCAATAGTCATACTGCAACTCAGCGGCGCCTGGGAGTGGAACAAATGAAAGACAAGTATCGCTTTCGCTACTCTCCCTGGGCACTGGTCGTCGTCTCCAAGAATCAGGGCTTTGACGGCTTCGATGGCCTTGACAAAAAACAACTACGCTGCGCATATGAGTATGGTACTCCAGACGTTTCCGAATCCATCTACTACTCCTCAGAGGCGTACAGTGACAGGGGTGTTTGGACGTCGGAAGACGTCGCGAAGAGGTGGGGCAACGAAAGCTCCCGACCTTGCTGGGTTCGCACGACAGGCGAGCCCGGCCGGAATTTAGAGGCCTGCGCGGTCGCCCTGGAGAATCCAAACCAGATTGAAGAGGTCGCTTTGGGCAGGCAGAGGGAAACTTACAATCGCTTCTACGCAGTTCTTTGCTTCACCGTGTTCTTCACCGGTCTCGTGGGGTATATCTGCTACCTCCAGATGCGAGTTTGTCTGCGAGAGCGGCAGCAGCGGCAGCGGCAGCGTCCCAGCTCCCCCAACTCTTCAGGCTCATCCGGGGATGATACGCGGAGGTTCCTGCCATGCTGGGATTCCAACTCCAATTCCGACTGATGATCGTCAATTCACAATCTCACTTAATTAAGTATCCTGAAAAGCGGGGGGGGGGGGGGGGGACCCTTGGTGGCTCNNGGGGGCAACTCCCTTGGTGGCTCAGAGTTGATTTTCACGTGACCCGTCTATCCTCCTGGTTTCCTTATAGTACAGAGTGGGTAGTATACAGCACCTAGTTTTCATAGGCTCTAAGGGTACAGTGGACAACACACGAAAAGGCGGGTCACGTGCTGCGAGCCGAGTCGCACTGCTACCAGGAAGAAACACTCTGCAAATTTATGAGACATTATGAGACGTAGCTTGAGTTTGCTGCGCACGCATCAAATGTATGTATGTAT